CGAGCATATAAAGAGGCTTTTATTTATACTAGTTTTTAAATTATTGACATATACTAGTGTAAGATTAATCATTTTCTATCTTCCTCTCTGTTTAGAATTGCTATACTATTTTACATTTGTATGAGATACCTGAAATCAATAATTCACTTCTAAGATGTTAGTACACTTAGTATAATATAATATACTTAGTATAATATTTAATCTAGACGCTAGTTTCTAAATAATTCCAAAATTTAAATCAATACACATATATTGTAACGAAATCAAAGATATATTGTAGTCAAACTAAAGTTGAAGATATTTTTGAATAAAGTAGTTATCCATTATAATCTTTGGATTGGGTTCAAAGTCAGACTATATGCTTAACATAACTTTATTATTAAACTGAAAGTGTGCAAAATTAAAATATATATTATTTTTTCTAATATTATTAAGTATGTTCTTTTATTATTTAACATCATTACTTATTGGAATGGTTCTTCCAATAAGCCTGACTGAAGGGCAGTTTCCTAGCCTCATATACGTGAAACTGACATAAACGGACAGTAATTAATAGTAAATTTAATTTTCCAGTGTTTGAGGTAAGTTCTTATGCAATTAAGATTTTTGGAGTTAGTCTAGAATCGATTTAAGGTTTAAAGTAAAACCATGTTTTTAAAGAAAACCAATGTTTACGAATAATACCATTTTTTTTAATTATTAACTGAAATATTCTTTCGAATCTTATATCTTCTATCATATCTTCAAGCATATTGCTAGCAGGCTAATTGGTTACAACATTTTATTATATATTTGGTTTAGGTATTAGAATTATTTCAGGACACTTTTAGGAATCGGCTTTTAACTTCTGTATGGCATCAAAAACTATAGTGGAAAACTTTGTGGCAAATATTTTGCTGGTTTACCGTCGAAGTTAGTATAACCAGTAGCTTAAAGGTAGTCTAATTTTCCAACTGTTTCGTTCGTCTCGTATACTTTATGTGCACGTATAAACCGTACACCATTGAAAATGTTGTAATGATTTTTTATTTTGTAAATTAATTACAAAATTATTTTCTTTCCCTTGAAAGCTCTTTTGAAAGGTAGGGCATTAAACTACCTATTTCTTAGATAACATTGTGAGTACAAATTAACTTTAAAGTATCTTTTATTCCTAACAAATAAGTAATTCTTTTATATGATAAAAAAGAAATGAAATATGTATATTAATTAGGTGTGGAAATTGCATCGCCGTCAATATTTAAAGACATCGTTGTTTTATCAATGTCTGATCTATTTTTTGGTCTGGCGGGAATTACAAGCCTCTATTTATTAAAAATTATGGTTGCACTGTTGTCAAGGCATTTTGGCTTAAATATTTTGTAAGCGAAATCATTTAAAAGAAGAGAAATTGTTTTGTGATCGCAAAGAAACAAAATTTAAACACAATAAAATAAACGGAAAAAAATATAACATGAAATATAAATAATTACAAAAATTATTTGTTAAGTGAAAACCTGCAAAACACTTAAAGTAAACAAACAAATTTATTAAGTTTGTTTAAAAAAGCCACTGAAATTCCGGATGCTCTTTGACGTGAGCGCTTTACCAATGCTTTTTGCCGATTAACTGCTCGCACAAACTAAACGAAAATAAATCTGTAGACCCACCGAACCGGTATTCCCGAAGTTTTCTAGTTTTGTGAATTTACTTTTCTTTAACTCGTAATTATGTAAAATGTCCACTGAATTAATACTTTAGTTAATAAATTTAGTAGTTATGAACGTGAGAATATGGTACAGTGGAATGGATCCATAAATTAAGTGGATAAAGGCATTTCATAGGAGAAAGGGAGAATTGAGAATGAACGCTTCTACTTTTGTGGAAGATTTAGTGTGGAAAAAGAAAAATAAATTAAATTTTTTAGCAAAAATATTATTTTTAGAATTTATTGGCACTGACTTTGTAGTATTTTGCCCTTTTACTGTTTCTAATTATATCTTGAATACAATAATTATTTTATCTTTAAAGGAAGTGCAACTTGCAAACATCTGTCTGCATTGGCTGAGTGCCATCTTTTAGAAGTTAACATTTCATTTAGAGGAACAGAATATATTTTTTAACAAATACTAAAGATTTGTATTATTTGATTTCTAACTTAAAAGTGAGTGAATTTTAAAAATACATTTATAACTTTTTTTAATTATTTTAACTGGTAGTAGGAATAAATTATTCTTATTTATTATATGTTTCTTAAATTATGTTCTTATATTTTAATATATTTTATTATTATCTTATATATATTCTTTAATGTATGACTATAATAGCTCTATGAATGGGTCTACCATTCTGTGCATACAATTTCAATTGGATCAGCATTCTCAAACCTATGATTAGCTTAGGTAGGTCAAGACTAAGTATGTAAGGGTCAGACCTAAAAGAATTTGTGAGGACCCCTATATTTATATAGGGTATTACATTAATATATATAAATATAAATATAATATATTATAATATAATATATATCATTATTATTATTATATTATATTATAATAATATAATATATATATAATATATATTGCTCCTAAGTATAACAATAGAATAATTCTCAGGTTAAATTAAATAACTTTATATATTTGATATTATTAGAAATCTATAATGAAATAATACCATACAACTTTTACATATAATATTATTTATTTGTTTATTTCTAAATTAACATTGAAATTTATTTTAAAGTTAACTAAGACTGCTAGGTTCTGGACTGCTAGGTTCTTCGTCCTGCTACATGTAATATTGAAAATCGCCGCCTATAGAAGAAGAAGTGACATTCTTGGGTCAACAGTGATAAAATGTCTTAAGAAAAAGAACTTTAAAAAAAATTTATTAAATAATATAAAACTAGAAGTATGTGATTTGAAAACCAATTCAAATAAAACAACAATAATTATTAGATTAAAAAATCGGTAAAGCTGTTTAGAATTTTACAAGTTCTTGCTAAACAAAATCCAATCTTTCGATAAAACTAAGCAAATGGTGAGTAAACAAGAGTATCTCAAATTATAATACCATCTTTTTGAAAATCGTATATGAATTAATCAAAGTATATCAGATTAGGTTTAATCGGTTAGTATTTAATAATACAAAACCCAGCGCGGCTTTACGAATACCAGTTAGAGATGGGTTTACAAAAGACGTAATTCTTAAAATTGATTGTATTCCTTCTAAACAAAATAAAAATTTAAAAAGTATTTCATATGGTTTTTGTATAATTAGAGTTTTATAAAACATAGATTAGATATTAATAATAAGGTTAATATTTAGTTAGAATAAAAATTAGACGCAAGTCTCAAAGTGTGAGAAATTTGTTTATAAAACAAAATTTCATTTAATTCGTTTAATAAAAACTCATATTACAAAGAAAGATACATTTTATTGTTATCGAAGCAAGTTCAGAATAAGATAGAAACAGAAAAATCTTTTATAGTTTTCTACAAAATATGTATACCGGTTATCAGTTGTACACATATGATACCTTATCTTTTATTAATTTCGGTGAATTTATTTGAACACACCACAAAACTGACTATGAGTATTACGAATATTAAGAAATTCAAATGTATTTTGTTGTTGTTGTTTGATTAATTTATGGAACCAGTCTCACCAGTACTCTTATTCCCCTCTCTTGTATCTATTATTTGCCATGCATAGTTATAGTCAAGACACTTCTAGTTTAAAGCCCCCTAACAATACATCTTAAATGAAGTGGAGAGGTGGAATTTTTTAGATCTTTCATTTTTCAGTTTATACATTTCTGGAAGTTTCGTTTTAAATATCCTTTGATTTCTTTTAGTAACAAAATAAGCAGTTATAAGGGAATAGGTGGTACCAAAAATATTGCTTTCGTTCATATAGTGAACTTTCTTGTTCCGTGTATGCCGTGTATGCTTATTACTTAGAATAAGATTCATAAGATAATCTATCAAGAGGAAAGACGAAATTTCTCAAGACCTCTACTTCATAAATTTCCTCTCAACATCCATTTATTCTATTTTATTTTATTTTATTTTATAAGCACTTTTAACTGAGCAATGCTAAAAAAATGCTGTATTGATAAGAATTTTATTTCAGATATAAATATTCGTATATATTATTCATATCATTTCGTAGAAGAAAATGGTTAAAAAGAAAATGTAACCTATTAACTACTTCCCTTCTCTTAAGTAGATTCTCAGGTCTATAATTGGTAAATAAACAATAGTTTAAGGTAGCGGATCGTTTTCAATTTTAGTGTAACAGTTCATTAAATATACATTAGAACCAACTTTAACGTATCTAAACTAATTTTAAATGTTAATCGACACAAATACATACACGGACTTAATATTTATAATTTGAATCCAAAATGCTTTGTCTGAAAAGGCAAACGAGTAAATTTTGAAAAAATCACGTTATAAACTCTAGTTTTTTCTTATTATATCTTGAAAAAAAATTTAAATTAATTTTTTACATAAAAATTTTATAAACTCAACTTGAACACGCTTTTGCAGATATGAAGTCAACAGGTAAGCAAATAGAAAATATCAGTTTTATAGCTACGCGCGTTCTAGACTATCGCAGATACTTTCCGATACCAGTTGTGTTTTAGGTTGAGTTTGAGGTGCGAGCGGTGGCGTTAATTTCATAGAACTTCTATGCGGTGAGGTGCGGTGCCATACTCAAACAAGTAAACAATGAAGTAAAATATTTAAAAAAAACAAAAAAAAAAGAACACAACAAACACAAACAAAATAAACACTCAAAACACAAGGTCACTTTGTAGTGTAAAATAATTTTATTTAATTTTTTTCATTAATTTTATTAGCTCAAATTTGCATTTTCAATTTCAAAATTTAATAGATTTTTAATAAATTTCAATAAAACTTTAAATTTTAGGATCGTGCATTAAATACAAACACGTTGTTATTGTAAATAAAAATTTGTATCTTTTATGGTTTGGTTTTCATATGTGCAACACGTACGTTTTTATACTTTTTAATTCGAATTCTTTTCGTCTCCTACAAATTTTCTTTTAATTTGTAATTCAACAGTTATAAAAACACACAACACGCCAAACTATCTAAACTATTCGATTCGATAACCGTTTTATGCGTATTCCGTACTTTTCGTCTGATACCAACCGATCGCCAACGCAGAGATACTCATTCTGCTCCCAATATTTTTTCAAACTAATAACAGAGCGACCAACAAAGTATCTGCATCGGTGTATCTGTGTAGTGTCTGTGTCGGTGTCGGTGGCCAAGTTGCTTATTTTATAAAAGCATCTGAGCAGTTCGCTCTGTGCTCATATATTAACGTTCCTCACTTGATTTTCACTCAAACATTTTTATTGTTTTTTGAGTGAAATATCTGCGTATGCGTTGCTGATTTGTATCTATGTGATTGTATGCGCTGTTTCTGTTTTCTTTAAAAATATCTTTATCGTTTGAATTATTGTTGATAAGCAATTTTTTCCATTTATTGTCCGCAGATAAGCCTCGCAATGATGTAAGCTGCGGTTGGCAGCGACAATAAAAAAAATTGCAAAATTTTTAAACTCCCATAAATTCAAATGTTTGACAAATATAACTCAGGTATACTAGAGCAGGGTTTCTCAAACGTTACAGGTCCGCGTCATTAGCACCATCAAAAAATGTCACAGTTAACGATATTATTTTGGGAAGATATTGGAACTTATTGAAGGTATTCATGATCTTGAGTGAAATCAAATTTAGGCTAAGCCTGTATGCACGATAAATGGCAGATATATACGATATAGATTATATTATTATTATTAAGCCTTGCTTTGCGTCACATGATTCCAAGCTGACTCTATACTGGGCATAAGCTATTTACAAATTGCCTCCATATTTGCCTTCTTACTGCCAGTTCTCTGAGTTCAACAATTTTGATGTATGATCCGCCAAGTTGTGCAGATTAGCTGTTAATTTCGTTTAGTGTTGATCTATAGATAATGTGTATATATAAATTTATTTTACTCCACATCCAAACCGTGTGCCAGTTTTCATGCTTAAAGTTATCATCTGTAAGTTGGGTAATAGTTTGATTTAAGATTGACAGCTGATTGGCCTATCGCATACGATTCTGCTGTTGGGGCTGCCAACTATTGACTCCAGACAGATAACTTTTGTTTTGACAGTACTCTTCTTGTGAGCGGTGCCGGTGGCCACTTATAGTTTTTCCGCCACCAACTCTTTTGCTAATCCTAGTTAAGGCTTGCAACTCCACCGACAACCTAAGTCCTCGTGTTATATAGTGTTTAGCTCACGGGTAAGGGTTTTTTAAAGCAGTGACCTTCTGCTGACTGTTTAGTCCGCGACAGGTATTTTATTTCCCTTCTACCACCTGAAAAAGGAAAAGGCATCCGCTATCCTCCACCTGCGACGCGTCTTCTTCTTTGGTTAATACTTATTATTATAATAATTTCGATAATAATAGAATATTATTTAAGTAATGTCAACTTTCATTGCAATTATAGAGTGATGTACTCTGCTAGTTTCAATTAACGCCAAATAACAAAGTAAACATTAAATAAAAAGATAGTAAGGTATTAGAAAAATTAAAACTGAGAAGATATTTATTCATTTATCGTATCCATAAAAGCAGTTCTAAATAGGGCAAAGTTCACATCTGTTAACATCGAAGTTTCTTTAAAGTTTGATGTCAACTCGTTCATACATATTTTAATTAACCAAAAAGTTATGAACTACTTAACTTCATAATCGTCATGCATAAATCGTCATAATGATACTCTTTTTAATGGAAATAAATTATTACACTTTTTTAATGAAAAAATACAATGTATCTATGACATGTTAATATCCATTATGCATAATTTATAAAAGAAATTAAATAGATAACATTTAAAGTGGGGTCACTTAATTACAGTTAATTAAGTAGTGTTCTTTATTCTTTCAAATGTAGTTTCGGAAGAAAACATATAATATTATATTATTGATATTAAAATATTATTTATATTATTTTTACTTTTTAAGACATTAAAACATATATCATTGTGAACCTTAGGCACTACTATATAAATTTTTACAACTATTATTTTTAATACTGAAATACCCGTAGTACATTACAAAAGTTTATTGTTATAGATTATGATACAATGATATATCTGTGATCTTAATTCATTCTTTTTTATTTTGAAAAGTCATTGAATTCATCAGACACCTGTGACATCTGTGATGTTTTGATGAATTCCATAATGCCCGTTCATAGGGCACAACGCTAAAGTGTCAACCTTTTGTTTCAAATATTGATTATTGATCTTATAGTTGAACTGTGTTGTTATGATTTTAATTGTCATAACTGAGGAATGATTAGTTGGTTACAGTGGCAGGCCATTATATAACTTCCATATACATCAATTAGCGATTTTTCGCCATTTTGCTACAACATTCGTCACAAGAACTCCTAATATAGAAGAGTAGAGACTAAATCCATCCCGTCGAATTTAGATAATTTAATAAGTCTATTGTCTTTACCGAGGAACAGTGTGAAAAACTGTCAAAGAAGTATCTTTTTAAAAAGCTATTTCTTTTGCACGCCAAAGCCAGAGAAAATGCTTTATAATTTCTTTTTTCTGTACGTTTCTATAACTTCTGCAGTGAGGATAATAAGAAATGCACAGTTTCTCTGTATGAGTTCCTATACACCAATGACCAGAAAGAGCTTCCTTGCAGTGTTCACGCGATTTCTTTTGATCAGTTCCAAGGATCTAGTTGCACATGACTTAAGTGGTTTCCATTTGTTATTGGCAGATTGAAGAAGGTAGAGGTATCCTAGAGGTAGGTCTCTAGGGTAAAATGAACAAAATACTTAATATTTTACAATTATTGCAGACGGATTAATGAAACCGCTTCCAATACTACTTGGAATATCTTTGTTGGTAAATTGAAGTTTAAAACCCACCAGTGACATCATACACCTTACAACAAGGCATCTCATATTGTATTGTTAATATGAAACCGAATTGTTATTTCTAAAGTTAGAAAAGTTAACAAGTTACCACTTGCATCTCTCTCTATTAGATTATATTTCTATTTAAGTTGTATTATATTATTCTCGATTCTAATATCATCAAACAAGTCAAAAATTGAATTGTCGTTCCCAAACTTTCCTTTAATAGCTTTAACCAACCAGATTACTTTAGTGTGAGGAATAATTTCTTAAAAAGTTTATATCTTTATAATAGCAGTAACGTAGTCCAAGCAATTAGATCTGGTCGCTATAGTCACCATAGACGCATGGAAGGAATACCTGTAGTTCCTTTTTCTAATAATTTTGTAAGCTAATAAGTGATTATTTACTTTTAATTTCAAAAAAAATTTTCATAATGTTGATCTTGTTCATATGGTGGTTTACAGATATTCGTCTTTTAGAATTTAGATAACAATAGTCTTAACTCTATATTAAATAAACAGTTGTGGAAGTTTTTGTAATGGAGTGCAGAATGTATCCTAAGTTTAATTTTTTTAAAATAATGATAAAATAGTAAGTTATGAAACAGTTGAGATGTTTCCTCTAGTATTTTTTCAAAGGCCTTTATTTGGACTGCAATCTCACGGGTGTAATCTTTTCAAACAATGTTCGCTTATCAGATTGTATTAGCATCAAAAACCTTCAATATTAACAGTTTAAAAAGTCATGGAATAAGTTTAAAGTCCAAAGACAATCCAAACAGGTAATTTCATCATCAAAAATAGTGATAGTTTTTTAAGCCTAAATCACTGCTTAACTCAAATTAACCAGCACTTATAAAAAGTTAAATTAAAATACTCTTACATCTGACGATATGAAATGCAGATTAAAATATATCTACTCAACTGATTTGCCTGCGATTGTCATACAATGTGTCCAGTAAATCAAAGAATATTGTTAGGTTTGTCAATAACAATAATTTATTTCTAGGTTGGCTTAAAAGACTTTTTCCAGGGATTGTAAAAAGGATCTATTAAAAAATCTATTAAAAAGATATTATTAAATCTATTAATATCTATTAATAATTCTAATGAAACGAAACTCGCAAATTTTATAAACTATTTATCGTGTTTTATGCAATTTTCATGAACAATTTACTGAGTATTTTCACTGAGTACTGATTACTTATTATTATTATTATTACGTGGGTATATGCACTGCAACCTTAAGATCTATTGTAACCCTGCTGGACCTAGAGTGTTTCTCTAAGTTCGATTACCTCGATAAATCATAGTATAATTCCTACTTTAACTAGTCAAAGCTCTTCAATCTGTAATATTTCTGTTCCTAATACTTATCTCTTTTGTGCATTAATGCAGTTCAATTTAGAAGTATATGCATGCCGAGACTCATCGTCGATTTGACAGAATCTACAACTAGTATTCGCATGTATCTCTAGTTTCGCTAGGTAGTGTCTCAATCTGCAGTGTCCTGTTAGGATTGCTGTGATAATTCCTGTCAATACCATCAAACGCTTTTTTGAAGTCAATAATAAGGTTTAAAGAAGTTTGGTATTCACAGCATTGTTCTACTATTCTACTATTCTACTTTATCATTTTTCTTATCAAGTGATATGTTTTTTGCAAATGTGTATATTAAAATAAAATATCAGAATAACAGTTTCATGTTGTTCAACTTAAAATCATGACATGATTTTACCTAAATGGTGGTAATTATTATCAGACTATCAGCTATTGTGCAATACAATATAATAATCAGACTATTACTAATTATAGCAAATGTGTTTATGTTCCAATATGTGTGGACTATGATTCGAAGACAAAACAGATAAATAGATAGATTCATAAATATTTGCAAATTTATTCATGGCAGTTACTGCAGGGTACAACATTTTTTTATATTTATCGGAAAGGTGCGATAACCGACATGAACAGACAGCAACTTTAGTGCATTTGAGTAACACGTGCTCCCAGTTATTTGCACCCAACGCTGAATCAGTTTGAAAATTGCATTGACTTGCTGAAATAAATTTTCTAAAAATATATTTTAAATAAAAATATTGTTCACAGGAAATACATAATTAAATAAAACAACTACAAATATATTCGAAACTGTTCCATAAACTCAAGGCAACTTATACTCTTAAGTAAACACTCTAATTGGGGCTTCTGGGCATGACTGCCAGCCTGTCTATGTTGACGAAGTGTTGATGGATATATATATGTAGGTATATACATGTGGATATATCAAAGCATTTATTAAGTCAAGTGAATATACGTATATACGTAGGTATATTCACTCAATATTAACAAAAAGCAAAAATTACAATTTGGAAAAGTTTATTGAGCGCAAACTGATTGAACGATCTGTGCAAACCCCAACAGACTGAAGTGGAGCGAAGTGGTTGCAGCGCTCATGTAGAATGGAATATGGAGCATTTTAATTAATTGCCATGAAAATTAAAATTACATATATATATGGATCCAGTTGTTCATATTTGGTATAAATTAAATTTTCATTTACAATGTCTACAGTAAAGGGGGGTGAAAAATTGGTGTCGTAAATTTTTATTTTAATGAAGTGCAAGGTCATGCGTCTGGAAATTTATCTTTCTCCAATATTCCTATTTTGATTTTACTTTAAGTATATGCTGCTATATTTGATTTTCAATAAATTTAACACAAAATTCTTTTATTCAACTGAGGAAATCATATTCTTTGGCCTTTCCTATAAGTTATCATTAAACCCATTTTTTTATTCCCTACTATCTGCGATGGAGTACAAATAGCGCATTGGCGACGCCTTCGTACTGATTATATTGCATACATTTCGTACGTTTCCACTTCCGTTTAGTTTTATTTGATGTTTGTTTGTTTATTAATAGCTTGGAAAAAATCTTATCTTTTCAGTTTAGACATATGTTCGATATTAAGACGAAGGGATAGTGTCAAATATCTTATCATGTTTTTTAAGAAAAATTTAATAAAAATAAAATTTAATACTTTACCTTTCTTTTAATTAAGTTTTCATTAAAAGTTTTTACGAAAAAAATTAATATAATATTTAGTGTTGTATTTTTAATATAAGGTATATTTCTCTTCTTTACAATAATACAATATGAAAAACCTTAATAAACCGATCACTTATCGCAGTTATTTAGATGAACACATTTGCAGAAAAAAATCGAAGCTGGTTGAAGAAAAACTCTAGGTTTATATATAGTAATCCTGAAAGGAAAAAGGCTCCAAAGTTGTATTAAATTAGTAACATGTGCAGACCAAAGATTTGCACATTTAATAAAACTGGTCCCGATTAAAATACGCAACATTTGGACAGGGGTCAAGACGGATTGGTATCAAAAGAGAATGTCTCTAACACGCTCCATGATAAAGCGTGGTTCACAAGATCTTTCTCTGAGGTAGTTAAGGTATTCTTAAACAAAATTGAAGCGTTGTCAAAATATACTATATAATCATGAAAAAGATGCTCATGATTATAACCATATAATAGTCATTATATGAGTATATACCAAGTAAGTGTAACTCGGTATTACCTGGTTTAACTGTTATCGACATTGAGTGGCCATCATATGTTATATATAATAATCATAGTGATGCAAATAAGTCTGCCATCACGTGAAGACTCAATAAAGTCGAGCATATATGAACTATAATTCAGTAAGTCCTCATTAACAGCGAATGTGAGATATGAGGTATGATATGAATATGATATGATATGAGGTGTAGCCGTGGTGATAAAAACCACATTGTCGAAAGCGCTTTACTCAATGCTGGAGTTTCCAGTTAAAATCTTTTTTTTTCAAATTGCTGCCATATATATGATCGGAAAATCGCTGCTAGGCAAGAATGGAATTAGTGGCAAGTAGGTCTATATTTAACCACACAATAAAAAACTAAGCAATAAATACGAGGTGGTGTATTATCGATTACTCTATAGAATATTTAGTCTCAGTCTTCCGGACTATTTCACTATTTTACAAGATGATGAAAAAGCCATGAGATGGTAAGGTATATTATATGTTTTATGATGTTTATATTTTACATATTTACAGTAATAGTTAAGATACCATGAAATCACTCACAAGTATAGTGACGATACCAAGATCAGTGGCATTATATCGCTCATTTCTATTTGAGATATATGAGATAAGTATTCTGGGCAATACTTATATTATGTGAAATTGCAGAATAATATAGCTTGTCACTCACGGCTTTACTCTTTTGGATGATGCAATATTATCTAAAATGTATATCCCAGTTTCTACCCTTTGACGTCTTCTTAGACAAAAATAAATTACTAAAGCAGAAAATAACTGGCAGGTAGAAAAACATGCCATATATTCAGGCAAATTTTGTAGAAGATATCCCACAAAAGAACGGAATTTCTCTCTCATAAGTTCTCCAAAAAATCGGGTCAATTTGCTGACGTCCGTCCGGAATGGCATTGTGAAACAGTTTTGCATGTGCTTAAACTTGGTGGTCTAGTGACAGAAACACTGTCTTTGAATGAGAGCATGAAAGAAGCGAGAAAGGGCAACTTCTTGAGAGAATTTCACTTTAAAAAATTGCCAGATCTGGGAACAGTTGACCTAACAAGTTTTTAAAAGCGTTAAGAAGGCGAGTTAAATATCCCAATAGCACCACACAAGGACCTGACTCAATGTGAATGTTACTACTTTGTTGTGGGACTGCCACTAAAATAATATTTTAAATAATGTGGTCAAAACTATACTTTCATGTAGTTTGCCATGAATTCGGTAAATCATAATTTTAAAATGACATATGTTTATGTATTTTTAAAAAATATCAGTTAAACTTTTGTTTTTCTTTTTGTGTTGTGTATTTTTGTTCAGCACGTATTTTATTTTATTATTTTAGTTTTCATTTATTATTTGATTAAACTTGTAATTAGACACGATATTCTATTAAAGAATGGATAGCGATAACTTACTCTGTCTACAACATCGGTAAGTTGCACTTCCTAAATATATCTCATTAGTAACATAACAGTCATGACTTAACAGTATTGCACTAAGAGTAATAAGTATGTACAAATTTTTTTATTCAAGTACTTCTTGATTCTTGATGAAATATGGTATGACTGTCCTATGTTGCCAATAAAATCAGTTACTATAACAAATATTTACTCTTCTGTTTTAATTTCATTACAATTATGGAATAGCGCTACAAATGACCCAGGCTGTGCACAAAAAATTTGTCGCAATTCCAAAAAATCCGTTCCAAAAACTTTATATGAAATGGGATATCGTAATTCAATCCCCAATTGGAAAAATGCTATGACACATCGTAATTGCGAACACTTTGAAGAATTGCAAAAAGTGTTTAGAGATTCTTCAAATGGTGATGTTGAAGTCAAAGTAGGAAATTGCACTTTTAAATGCCACAGACTGATTCTAAGAGCTTATTCTAATTACTTTAATGCTCATCCTACAGTTTCAAATTTTGAAATTTCAGATGATGTCATAAGTCCTATAGCTTTCCGGGTGTTGTACGATTGGATGACAGATAATAGCGTAAGAATTAACTGTGATGGAGTTATGGAAGTTATAAAAGCAGCAATATACTTCGAAGTCCCATTACTGATGGAGTTCTGTTGGAAAATTTTTAGCAACGAAGCATATTTTTGTGAAGATGTAGCTTTCATGGTATATCTTGAGGCACGTTCTTACGACTTTCCGGAATTGAAAGAAGTTATGCTAACTCGTGTACGAAAATTTTACCTTCAATTAACGTGCACTGCAGAGTTTCTTTTTTTAACTGCCGAGGAATTAAAACTTTTAATATTCTCTAACTATATTGAAGTAAACATGGAAAGTGAAGTTTTTTTATCCGTTGTTCGTTGGCTGGATCACTGTTGGGAAGAGCGAAGTGCTTTTCTTGTACCATTAATGCAGTGTATTCGGTTTAGTACAATGCCGGCATCATTTTTATTATATTTAACTCGCGGTGCAGACTGTGAAGAAGTACGGAGAGTTATTGAAAATAATGAGGTGATTACAATGATAAAACATGCTTTGGAGTTTGTTTCAGCTAAAATTTCATGTCCAATTAGAGAATTGCCTGCTTTGTTAGCACATCTGAATGTACCCTATAAACCACGGAACTGGATATTTGATCCGCGTTGCAGTTATCATCACAGAAACGACTGTAATAAAATGGAGGAACTAACATATTATAAGTATTTGTGTTACCTACAATATTTACAAAATGCTTCGCCAAATCATTGGAGTACACTTATTCCAGCAAATGATCTAAAGGCTCGATGTTGTTATAAGAAAAAACAATATAACAGTGACAACGAAACAATTTGCTGTTCTAAATCAATATTATCAGAAACCACTTCAGACACTTCAACTAAATCCACTTCAGATGATTATACTACAACTGTATTTATGTACGAAACACCAAGGACAACAACCTCAAGAAATTATCTGACCTCAGGTCGTTCTAGTAGTTACCCCAATAGTTATTATACTAGCACTCAGCAAACTTCGAATTCTGCTTCTACCGAACGGCATGTTATTCATCCATATTAAAATTTAAATTTAAAAAGTGTAATCCGTAAACATTATATTGTTTAAGTACCCAATAAGTCGTTTGAACAGAAAAGCGGCTAATGATGTTTTAATAAAAAAACTTACGTAAATAAATGACTTGAATTATTTTTAATGAAAATCTATTAAACTGACGAGTTTCCCATAATCAGCATAAGTATTTATAATAATCCGGGTCAAGTATTTAGCGTTTATATAAGTTTCCTCCATCTACTTCTGTATCCCACTACTACCCGCGAGTGTTTGGTACATTGTTCATCTGTCTTGATCGCGGTTTTCCAAAGTTTTTTGCACTCCACCGTTCTATTGTTATTGGCCGTGAATCTAATAAATATCATTATTGCTCTTATACGTCATTTACAGTTTCCACATGTTGGACCAATACCTTCTCAGAAATTTGCCTTACTTGCGTATCTAAATGAAGCACATAAGAATACAAATATTTTAATAATAGAATAGACCCGATTAAAAAATCCATAAGGCACAGAGCCCTGAAGTTATATGCGAAAATTGACAGGCTATCCTACTTAGCACTATCTAATCTTATAGTTATCACTCTCCGCACGGGGAGGTACGCAGATCTTAGATCAATCAATGAATAATCATGAAGTTTATAGGCAATACATAAATTAGTCAATGAGATGGGTGGGACCCTGTAGTACCCCCAGCTATCAAAGAGTAAAAGTGCCCAGTTGTGCTGACTCGAAAAAAAAGGATCAACATACATACATAATATTATTAATATTAATACAATATTAATAATATATAGATATAAATAAATTAAGTGTTACATGGGGAACTTTTTTTTATTGGTAGATAATATTTCTAGCTTTCAAATTTTTATGGTAGACTTTTTATTGGAATATCTTAGCAATGTTTTCACTTTAATTGAACTGAAATTTATTGAATTTAAATAATTGAGACTGAATAGTAATATTATTGCATAAATAAATCGAAGACGTTTATGGAGGCATTATAATTGACGATTCAAGATGCATCTCAGCTACTGTTTTGTACGCAATAAAATAATTTACATATGGCCGAATTGCTTAAAAAGGAAACACCGGCTAATTAATTCGGGTTGTATGTATGAGTTCAGTAAAAATTTGCAATTAAAACTTTATTATTCATTAATTAAAAATAATAAAGAAAAATATGTACCTACAAGTCAACGAAATATTGTTAAATTCTTATTTCTGAAAGATTCTTGCAAAGTGTTTTTTGGATGAATCAAAAACGCACTTTTTAAATATTAAACTGTTATGCAGTTAATAGCACAGAATTTGGATTCTTTTTAAATGAGATCCACTGATACACTGCTCTGTTTTTCAGTATACGAAGTATAATAATAACACTTCTTTCAATAATGTGTGTGACTAACTAATTAAAACACATTTTGTTGCCAAAAATCGTTTTTATTCATCAACATAGTTCCCTTTTAGGAAGATACAATCATTCTAACGCTTTTGCAATCTTTCGAAACCACCTTTGTAAAACGGTTTTTCTTTGCCTTCAAAATAGGCGTTAGTTTCGGCGATTACTTCATCATTTGAGCCAAATCTCTTACCACGGAGCATCTTTTTGAGGTCTGCGAAGAGCCGGTAGTCGCTGGGGGCCAGATCTGGAGAATACGGTGGGTGCGGCAGCAATTCGTAGTTCAATTTGTTCAATTTTGCCATCGTTTTCACGACTTGTGACACGGTGCATTGTCTTGGTGGAACAAAACTGTTTTCTTCGCCATATGAGGCCGTTTCTTTGCGATTTCGTCTTTCAAACGCTCCAATAACGCTATATAATAGTCGCTGTTGATGGTCTTCCTCTTCTGGAGATAGTCGATGAATATTATTCCATGCGCATCCCAAAATACAGACGCCATAACCTTACCAGCCAACTGCTGCGTCTTTGGTCGCTTTGGGCGGCTTTCACCGGCTGCATGCCACTCAGCCGACTGCCGATTTGACTCTGGAGTGAAATGGTGGATCCATGTTTCATCCATCGTGATGTACCGACGCAAAAACTCCGACGCGCAATAAGCGTAAACATGTCCAAACAGCTCTTTGAATCATCGATTCGTTGTTGTTTTTGCTCCGGTGTGAGCAAACGCGGTACCCATTTGGAAAACACCTTTTTCATACCCAAATGTTCTTGTATTATGGTGTGTACACTGCCTGCTGATATCTGTAGAATGTCAGCAATCTCCCTCACTTTCACTTTACGGTCGGACATAATGATTTTCAGTGTTTTTTCAACGTTTTCCGGAATAACAGCGTCATTTGGCCGTCGAGTAGATGGAATGTCATCGGTGTCTGTACGACCACGTTTGAATTCGGCATACCAATAACAAATACTTCTTTTTGATGGAGCAGAGTCCGAATAATGTTTTTCAAGCCACTCCTGGCATTGAACAGTATTTTTTTTCATTAAAAAACAATGATAAATCAGCACACGGAATTGCTTTGAATTCATTTTTTTTTGAAAACTCAAAAGTAGCGTCACTTAAAGCACTGTTACTTGTAAACAAATGGTCGGATTAACATATGATTTTGACAGTAAGCCTAAAAAGATTGCCACTTTCGAAAAAAAAATATTTATTTAGTATTAGTGCCGCCATCTATGTGTCAGTCACATACATTATTGAACGAAGTGTTATACTTATATCAGCAACAACTCTAAATCTACTAAAAATATGTATCCTGTTCTGCTAGAACCGTTCTAACAAAACTATAAACATGTTTAAGAGATTACTTTTTTGGTCTAATATCAGCACCAAATAATACCCAGAGAACTTTCTCTGTACAGCCAGATGAAATGTCTACAGCTTTAGTATGACCTTTGCTTTTGATTCAACGATAATCAAATTCCATTTAAAGCATGGTTTTCGATGTTTTTGTCAGAGTCGATAGTTTTCGACCAAAATAATGTACATCAGTTAAGCTAGTACGACCTCAGTTATAGTTAATCACCCATCTTTTTAGTTATGCATATGATTGAGTTCCAGTATATTTAAAATATTTCAGGATGTAAATACCACAAATTCTAAAAATTAATTATAGGATAATGAATTTGCTCCATTTTTATAATTATAATTTATTTTTAATTATAATTATTATTAAAAATATTAAAAGTACTTTTTTAACGAAAGAATGTTTGCTTAACTGCTTAATATTTAGGTTAAAAACTTTTCACATACCCCTCGTAAGAACCGATTAATTTCAGAACATACAAAATGACTTGTTAATACACTACCACAATTACAGAATTTACAGAAGATAAGACCTAGTGCAATAAATATATTACAATATAAATTTTCAAGCAAATTCAAAATTTGGAAAAGATAAACTAGAAGTCAACGGGAGACAATTTAAAAGCTAATCTGGATTTTATTTCAATTTAGATTCAATGATAAAATAATACTGGAGGTTGTCCACTCTTATAAAATTTCTTATAATCAATTTTTTAGGTTGGCTAATATATATTTCGCGTTAGTAGATAACCGAAAATTCGAACTCCACTGTTGCTGAAACTTAAGTACATATGTACCAAAGCAAAAACGTGATTATTTAAGAGATCGGGTGGAAAGATAAGTTGTTTACCATATGAAATTGAAATAAACACATTCTGTCGCTTTCTTATCAATGACCCACCGTAAGTTAATAAGCACCTGGCTTAGTTTTTCTTCTCATCCAAAAACAAATTGCAAGATATATTACTATGGGACAAAGTATACTACTGATTTCTGTACGGAACAGTGTTGTACTCACGTACTAAGAGTGATAGGATCACAAGATAGGATAGAATTAAATGAACAAATGCAGGGGACTTCGAAAGCCAGATAAACAGTATGAGTTCTTAATCAACATGATACCACGAATCAATTTAATTACGTTTATTTGTGTGTCCATCTATATGAAAGCCTATCTATCTGTCTGTCTGCATATCGATAGATATGTGAATATGCAAATTGTTCCTTAGTTTTTAAATTAGTTGAATAATAATAAATATTATTCGAATAAACATAATATACCGAATAAACAAAGAATAAATAAAATATACGGAACAAAGAGGAAGAAACAAAATCTTCTGAATATATCATATTTATTATATATATTGTGATATATCATAATTTATAATATTAAAATAATAGTACATACTTTATCTGTAACAGAAAGTCATGAAGAGTTTTGCGATCTTTTAATTATACCAGTTATGAACTCTGGAGTAATTGATTAATTGATTTTAGGGGTGGAAAATGGGACGATCAGTCCTTCAAGTCCTCTTTTGGCTACATGTCTAGTCTATGTAATATAAGTAGACAAAACAGAAACAAACGTTGGAACCTAATTTTGTTGTATTAAAACATATGACTTTCGGTTAATATTGGTAAAAAAAAATGAAAGTAGTACTGAAAATTTTTCGATTGGTGAATCTGGGGTAATTTTTTCAGTCTAGATTTAGTGCAGTGTTCATTTTCGATTGGTAAACTTCGAATGAAATGTATAACACTCGAGAATAATATTGTACTTTTATTCAAATTTTATTAGCAATTGGTAAATTTGGAGCAAAATGTATAATACTCGAGATTAATTCCTAACACTCTAGATTTTTTGCAGGAGTAACAAAATTACCCTAGAACTCATAGTGGTTCATATGGCTTGACAGATAAAGTGTGATTTGATTCTATAAATGTGTTTATGAAAAATATACATAAATGCCTACCAATTACAAAAATATTAGACCACTCTAACAACGTTCGATTTGACAGATTGAGAGTAAACTTAGATTGATTGCAGATTTACAAAACATAAACGCCATAACATATGATTTCAATGACTTGTAGTGTCATTTTTTTGCTCTATATTACTTTAAGGAATACGAAAGTTTGTTATTACAGTTTATTAATTTAATATAGAATTTTCGGTCTACTTCTTAGACTATCTTAGCTACATGGATTTAAGACTTTCGTCAAGATCAAAATTTGTATTTTCTATGCAAACTATTTTTAAAATTTATAGTTTTTGCCAATAAAAAAGTTTTCACCATAAAGAAAATTTTTTTACAATTTCATTACACAGAGAAGAGAAGAGAGTGGTTGCTGTGGAAGCATTTAGAAAGTGGCATTACACAATTCAAGTCCACTATGTACACCAATGGATCTTTGATTCATTTTTCTATTGCCTACAAAGAATACATCCAACTTTCAACAATAAAAAGAAGTCATTTATTGAATTTAAAATATAAATTCAAAAAAATTATCATTATTTAATTACACTTATTGTTTGATTCACAAATGAAGTAATGCTTATTACCGCAGACAGCGTCGTTCCATTGTACATAAGTTGGATAGTAATCAATACAATATTGGTTTTTGCCAGAAGTAGGTTTACCAGCCATCCAATTGGTGTACTTAACTGCATCACCATTACCCCAAACCCAGGATCCTGTATCAGTTAACATACCAGAGGTCCAGAATGTCTTTTTGTAACAACCTTTAATCATAACAATATTGAATAAAAACTCAAGAATGAATAAAATCAAATCTGACTCACCAGTGTTTTTGATGGTATTACTGATGAAATCATTTTCGGCAGGGTCTTCAATGCTGACCAATTCCATATTGATGTTACGGCAGAAGATTGCAGCATTATCGCGTGAACGTTTGTTGTTTGTCTCAAAATAGTAATGTCTTCCATTGTAGCATGCATAGGATAGACTGCAGGTTATCCGGGGTTCAATGAATTCAAAGTCATCAGAATCTAATATTTATGAATACAGTAACATTAGTATTGAAGTCCTTTCACATACCATAGTTGCATTTATTTACCCTCGAGGGGAATATCATTTAGAATTCCTCCAAAAGCACTGTGGCTCGCAAGAACCACAAGCAATAATGGAACACACACGAATTTCAACATTATTTCGAGAAGTCTAAAATAACACTGTAGAGCAGCAGAGAGAATGGTGCCATTTTATATTACACAAAGAGTAGACCAATGCGAATTATCACCTATATTATCTGATAGTAGAAATACGCTTTTATTATCTGCAATTCGAGATTGATTGACAAGTTATTAAAAATCCGCACTTTCTATTATTTTAATTTAAACTGTTTTTTTTTTGGAAATTTTATTAAAAATATTAATTATATTTATAATTTTAGATGATAAAGTATTGCTTAGCATTAGCTGAATATTATGGTTTCAAAATAATTCAACAAAGTAATTGGGAACTGAAATTCTCATTTTCAATTGATATGTTCGTCACATAAACTTTATATGATAAGATGGAAAAAGATGTGATTTATTATCGCACTTAATTATTGTTTTTTTTTTCCAAATTACAACTTCTGGACGTTAACTTTCTATAAATTTTAGGAGTTGAAGGTTCTACTAATATTATTTGAAAAAAAAACAGCAACTTCGAAAACCAGAGGTTCTCAAATTTTTTTTGATGAAGGACCATTATGATATTGAAGAGATAGTGGATGAAAAAGCATTTTCTAGTCAAAAGATTAAAGTTTCTACAAAATGATTACATAAATATAGAGTAAACGGTGTATATTATTGAATTAGAGTTTTTCTTTAAATAAAAATTTTATTTTTCTTCTGCAAATAATAGAGGTTATTCGTCGTCCATGAATTGTAAACAACTTGTATTACTAAACAACTGGTATACCATGATTATAAACGACTGGTATTACTTATCTAAATATTTATAATGTCACTATGTGTGCGCTTTATTGAATTTTCGTACTTATTGACTTCTCCCCGTAAGTTATAAGTTGGAATTAATTCATTGTTTTTCATTATATCTGCAAATTTAACCATTGATGATGATGCATTGCAGATTAGATTAAAATTCATTACCTTTCAATTAAAACCTTATTTATTGTTAAAACAGCTTAAATTTATTCAATGTATTAATATTAAGTTTTTGTGTTAAGATACCAATCATGCCAATATGCCAATCCTGCCTTTATGCCAACCCTGTTTTTATACCAATCCTACCTTTATGCCAATCTTGCCTTTATACCAATGCTGTCTTTATGTCAATCAGGCGTTTTTACCAATCCCGCCTTTATGTGAATCCTGTCTTTATGCCAATCCTGCCTTTATGCCAATCCTGCCTTTATGCAAACCTTTCTTAAATTATTGAAGGTTTTTTCATTTTATTACTTACAGCGTTGATTTTACTAAAATAGATCATTGGCCTTTAAATTGTAGAAACATTATCGAACTAATTATTTACGAGAAACTTATACGCACACTTTTTATAACATAGTTTTTTGTCTGACGGAATAGATATTATATCACTCATAATATTGCCAGGGGAACTTTAATTAATTTCGTTTTTTTTGTAAAATAACAGATATTAGTCTTCGAAAATAACCCGCAATATATATTTTTTTCTTAAGATTACAATTTGAAGTGGTGTAAATAACTGATTAAAATGTGATTTAATTTTTTTATTACTATCAATATTGATAGTAATACTAGATACTACAAGATTAAAACTTTCAAACCCTATTAGAGAAAACGAAAACTTTTAAAACAATTAAGCAAAATCAATTTTCACACAACTGATATATTTAATTTTTTAGAAAGATAACGTTTTACTATTTTTTTACTACCATATTTCTAATAATTTAAATTTTCTAGTCTCTGTACACATTTAATAGATTGAAGTCGTGGACTGATTATTATTCTATAACTGAAATATAATGCTTGGTAACTGCCATTAAGCGTGTTATTGTGTTTCGGGATTATAAAATGTATTATTTCTATTTTCCAATTATGGGTGCTTCATTATTTTTTAATGCTTTATGTTTATGTGCCCACTGACTTTCTAAGGACTGGATCTTCAACGCTACTTTCTGTTATTTTTTTACTCGTCGCTTTCTTAAGTCCACAAATTCTTCAAGGCAGCTTCGTTTTTAATTTCTTTTATTTGTTTTCTGTTTTCTTAAGCGCTAAGTTTTAAAAAAAAATAAACTTCTTTGTCGATCCTTGGATTTTTGATTTCTTAGATAGCTCAAAACCATTCATTCTTTATTTTCAACTTTTGGCTGTTCTTTAAGTTCAGCACATTTTTCCATTATAAGTTTCTGTTCCAAAAAACAAAATAAGGTTAATGATCGATATATTTTATTGTAACATTAAAATCCAAAGAATGTGTTTCATTATACATGTAAAATAAATTTCTAATTAATGAAAAAGTTACACAGAATGAACACAATATATATAATAAGTGAATAATTTATGATTTAAAACAGACAAAACTAATACATATTTATTTTTTTAAATGAACTGAATTAATAGCTCTCAAACTGTTTGTAGCTAAAATTTTACTTCACATAATTTCTTTTTAACTGCACATTTTGCCGCTTTTATCATTTTTATATAATGTTAAATCAGTTTATTTAATTGTTTCCAAACTAAACATTTCTTAAATATTAAAATAATTAATTCATTTAACTGAAATAGTCAATTTTATTACAAAACTTCGAATTTTACATATATTTATTCTATTCAAATATATTAGTAATAAACAAACTGTTTAACGTTTGCATAAGCTAAAATTTCTTTTATTAAATTGTACAAAACTTTCAAAACTGTTATTCTGACTGCAATGCTACCATTGATTTATTCAATTGTTATAAAGTATTAAAAAACAATTATTTTAATATTAAATAATATTTATTTGTTTTTTTAAGTGTTAAGAATAAACAAACTGTTTAAGGTCAACACATGAATAAATTTCTTTTATAATTTCTTATGCAAAATCTTAAAAGTAATCAAACTATTTAACATCTACATATGCCAGAATTACTGTTTTGAAACTGTACAGAGCTGCTAAAACTGTTATTAATGACTGCAGTACTTTTAATAACAGTTTTAGTAATTGTAATAAAGTAAATGAATAACTAATAATAATTTTATTTGGCTTTGAATTTATTTTTAATTTATTTTTAAATTTATTTGTAATAGGTTACAATAAATTGTTAAATAATGCAAACATAGTTTAACTCTATATCAATTGAAAAACTTTAGATTATCGCATACACAAACCATTAAAAAAGCAAAATATATATTATTATCATGTTATTAATTGTACAGCGGCTGTAGTGCCGCCATATGTAAGTACAAAACTATAAATGTCAAAATTGTTTAGTTTGCAAAATGTTGCGTTTGCGCGGAGTTGAATTATTTTTGTATGAAATAGAAACTTTGTTTGAAAATATGTTTACATGCGCTTTGGAAAGGACGAATAATCAAAAAGAATGTATAAAATAAGCATAGAGAAAATAATTTATGTAAAGTGAGATCCTGACAGTTCGTTTTGGCATTTTAGTGTGTTCGGCCGAAAAACGGTATTTGGAAATTGCATTTAATTTATGTGTTAGAAAAAAGAATAAAACCTAAAAAGTAGCATAAAATTGAGAAAATAAATATTGCTTGAACAAGTAAACATAAGGAAATTCTAATATAATAAAATTAAATTATTTGGGTGTGGATAAAACTGTGTTTTTTGTATCAAATGAGCTCCAAAACTGTTCAAAATAAGTATCTTCTTCAAGAAAAAAAAACTTAAGGGTTGTTTTTAATGGAATTTTATAAATTTGCATGAGTTTTCCTCGCAAAAGATAAAGAAAAAAAATTATAAACAGCCAAAATACTTTGTGCAAATAAGTGTAAAAGGAAAAATCAATACTAAACAGCAGCAAAGTTTGCCAATTAGAATTGCTAAACATGCATATTTCTAATTGGAATTTATCGTTTTGTTCTATGTAAAATTTAAAGCCAAAAATAAAAAAATTAAAACCAAATAAAAAAAATTTATTAAGTGAAGAAGAAATACTAAATAAATAAAAAGCATTGTTTCTTTTAGAATTTTTAATTCAGTGAATTTACTAAAATAAACTTATTAGACAACACACACAACACTGTGCGCTCACATTCCTGCACATCCTTAGCAACTTGCCGCCTGCCACTGACAATTTCTGCGTGTGACTCATTGTGCTCAATAATTATTGCCTGTTGTGGCCGTCATTAGTGTCAATTTGTCGCCAAATTTGATCGATTGTATTTATTTTAGAAATAAAAATTTATTCCTTAAATTGTGACGTTATGTCGTGTCATATATATAAATAAACAACTTAAAGTTACGGAAAACATTTCATTTTTGTTTCTGTATTAAATAAAAAAGCTTAAATATGAAGACACGCTTGGTTTCTCTAACATATCGCGGATCCGCTTCAGTTGATCCTCGTTTTTCTGCTGCAATGCTGCCATGGACGATAAATGACATCAGATCGACGGATAGCTATACGAAGGTAAGCTATATATTAGAAATAACAATTTTAATTCAAAAATCAGAATAAGCAGATCAGCGTATTAACAAGCTGGGATCCAATTATGAAAATATTTCCACCTTCTACAATCGTCTTCCTTTTTCGGTTTTTCGCCGGTTTGCTACAACATTCGTCGCAAGAACTCCTAATATAGAAGAGTAGAGACTAAATCCATCCCGTCGAATTTAATTAATTTATTAGGTCTCTCGTCTTCATCGATGAACAGTCTGACAAACTGTCAAAGAAGTATCTTACTAAAAATCTATTTCTTCTGGACGCCAAAGCCAGACATTCACAGAAAAAATGTATTATGGTTTCTATATTGAGTATGACTGTCGATTTATTACCTATAAATTCAAGGTTTACCATACACTATTTTTATTTTATAATAATTTCTGAACTGGTTAGTTGCTATTCTGTACGGGGTGTGTTGATCGCACTGAGTAAACCACATCTTATTTTACTTGCTTTATTATCATCTAAAGAAAATATATTATCGTGTAAGTGGTTTGTATGTTTTTTAAGTCTCGATTGTCAAATCTTATCGAATGTACCTTCGATTACATACACCAGTACATAATTTTCCAAGCATATTTTTTATTTTAGGCTTCGAAACATTTAACAGTAGTTTTTCTGAAAAACCGTTACCATTCAAACTCTACTCTAAAGCGACAATTTTGGCTTAAGAAATAAAAACAAAATCATATCGTATTAAATCTGATAAATACAGTGTTTGCTCAATGGTATTTTTTGGATTTTCAAAGATAAACACACTCCAACTGCCCATGTATGTGATGTCCCATTCTTTAAAATTCTGGAGTTGTACTTCTACAAATATTGTCTTAAATATAACATATAATCTATTTAACGCAAACAGTTCAATACGATCAAAAAAATATTACTTACAGTCCGTTTGTGATGTAGCAATCCAAAAATGCGAAAAAAACAATAGCGGGCACCTAAAGTCTAAAGATACTTGTTTTAGGTTTCAACTTACTATAAAATGATTTGTCACCATCTGTGATTCATTTTACCAATTTAAGATCACAATTGACACGATCAATTTATAAGGGTAAAAATTCTGTTGATTTAGAACTGTATGGCAACATATTTTGATTTCCAAAAATCTTTTTTAATCTAAGAATAGATAAGTAAGAGATGTCTATATATGATTTTGTGTAGATTTTTGAGTAGCTCAAAAATTAACTGACTAGTTTGCTATCACACCGATTTGGCTAGACCGATCAAGGGAATGCCGGCGTTGTTGTTGGTCCTTTTCATCTATTAATCATAAATCTCAAAACCCGATAACATAAGAATTAATCTTTATGGTCATAAAATGTTAGTTGGTTAGTTGTAGTGACAGTTCAGTAGATATCATTACTCTAACCATTATTTTTATTTGAAAAAGGGTATAATAATTAGTGATAATTGCTGTTTTACTACCATATTCCTAAATCTAAAGATATAAAAATGAGACAAAAACTAAATCCATCTCGTGGAATATAGGTAATTAAACAAATCTTTCATCTTTCGTCTTAAGAGTCTGATAGACTACAAAAAAAAATACTTTTCTAAAAGCCTATTTCTTTTGACAGCTGGGCTTTCACAGAGAAACTCCTTAATTATTTCTTTTTATTATAAGTTTTCACAACTTTTACAGTGAGGAATAAAAGAAATGCGCAATTTCTCTCCGTGGGTTTGTATACACCAGTGACCAGAGAGAACTGCAATGAGCCTTGTAGTATTTACGTGGTTTTTTTTAATGAGTTCAAAAAATGTTATCTTGTTATATGAAGGCCATATAACTTACACATGACCTAAGTGTCTTCCATTTATTATTAGCAATGTGAAGAAAGTAGGAGCATATACCAGTTCTCCTTGGGATACATTTAGGAAAGCTCCAAGGTTATCCAAACCGTATGCTTTTTCATTATCTTCAATGTTCCTATATCTGAGAACCCAGATAAAAGTGAAGTCAGTTAACCGGTATGGCTCGCCATACAGTGTTGTGAAACTTTTCAAAATCTCATAATTAAACAGCGGTGCGTTTGAAATCCCTATTAAACTCTTGAAGAAGTCTTCGATGTCTTCATCATTGAACTAAAAACATATTGGTAATCATGATATACTCTTTCTCAACTATTATGTGTCCTTGAGGGTATGGGAATCATCGACGATAACAAATTATTTATATTAGTTGTACTGCAATTAATTGTGTAAAATTTTTTTAAAGGATGTGTACAAATTTCAAAGGACCACTTTTAATAATATATATGCAGCAGTAACAATCAGTCAATACAAACACCAATAAGAGAGGGAATTCCCTAACTACTTATCTTAGTATTGTCTTCTTTGCATCATCTTGTTTGTGATTCACTGTGGTTAAGACCAAATGAAGCTATAATCTGTCGCAATTCATTCTGATATCCCTCCAGTTTATTTAATGTCACAGTGTGAATAACTCAAAGTAAACAAAAATGGGATGAAAAAAATCATTTCGGTACCATGGGACATTTAAATTCCAAGATTGCGAAGCAAAGTGCTGCTAAATCAAAAGTAAAAGCAAATAAAACAGAACAAAAAAAAAAAAGAAAAACTAATTTTGAATAATAATTACGTAGGGACTGCAAAATAAAGTCAACAATTACAAAAAGAAGAGGAAGGAGACAATAAAACAAAAACAAGAAAGGTAGAAATATAAGCAAATGATTACGTTCTGTTCGGTTGAATCCTGTTAAAACGGAAGCCAAACAAGTTGCAGTGCGGGCGATTGTCCTGTGCTGTTCGGTGCTTACCTTGTGCGGGTATTTCTAACTCGTTTGCTAATTAAAAAACATTACTCCGAGGGTAAAATAATGTATTTAATGACAAACAAAACACAACGAAAAAAAAAAGAAATCAGGAAAAGTGATTTAAGGCAACTATGTGCATGAAATGTTAACTAAGCAGGATGTGTATTAGACTTCCACAACAATTAGATATGCTTCCGATAAAGTCAAACACATAGGAGACTCCTAAGACTCCTAATCAAATATTTAATTTAATTTTATTTTAATGCAATATTAAATTTATGCAATTGTTCACTGATTGGCCTTATTTACTACTCAAATCAAATATCTCACTGGTATCCTTAAAGCTGTGAAAAAACCTACAATTCTTCTCTTGTTACAAAATAAATTATGTAGGCGGCACCACCTTGTTGACTTGACCAAAAGATACTCTTGCGAATGGAAGGAAGGTCTTGTACCAGTATCTTTGTATCAGTTTAATAATTGCTAGCTCTGCAGAATTTAATTACAGGCTTTTGTTTGTCTTAAATAATAAAGCAACACAGCACGTTTCACTTCGTGGGTAGTCCTGTTTTAATTAATTTTATTTACTGTGCAAGTTAGGTGCTCTCTGATATAAACAAATTTAGATATGAAGGTTAATGTAAAAATAAAGCAATGAAAAAGGTGTATAAAATAATTTCTTTTTTATTTTTCCATTATAATAAAATCACTTAATTAGTAAAAGTTCTGTTTTGACTTTTCGAAAAATATAAAAAATTCTTGAATGTATGGAATTGCATGATATTTTTAGTTTTCTGATGTCATATAGAATTCAAAATATTTTTCTATTGTGTTTTTTGAATCGTATTGGATGGATGTACTATCCAAAATAGTTTCTAACTTCAATTAAAGAAGGAATCTCCTTTGTATTATTTTTTGAAGACTTATTAAACCTTCTCTTTGACAAATTTAGATCATTAAGAGGTTTTAGATTTTGGATTACGATTTCTGAATTATTCACTTTCTGAATGGTGCAATAATGTCGTAAGCTTGCAGCCTACTTAAGGCACAGTCTGGAATATAGGCGTGAAGTTCACTTCTAGACAATCTAACTTATTTTATTTTACTAAAACTAGCATTTTAACAATATGCTCTATAGTTTGTGTTCCACGAATCCCAATATGAATCCCATGTAGCTTAAATATAAAACTAACTAAAATATACCCACTATAAGATGATAATAAACTTTCTTGGTGCAGACAACATAAACTTATTAACTGAAATAAACTTAAGTTTTATAATTAATAAATATAAACACTTTTTATAGTTTTTTGTTCTTAATGTTGTAAGAAGGAACAAGGATCTCCCTAAGATGAATAAGTCTACTGCTGCTCAGTTTTCTATAATACCTTATTTGAATTTTTACAAAACTTAATATTAATAGTGGGGCTTTAAGGAATATTCGGATTTAAGTTTTTTCTCTAATTGCACTGCACCAAAGAAATTAAATTTTTTTTTCTTTTAACGGTTTTAGTTTTTAAAGGGTTCATACCCAATTTTTTATTTCAAGGGATACGAATACATGTCTTTAAAAAATTTGCTACGATTCAAATTTTTTTTCTTCTAAAAGGAGGAATTTCTCAAATCTGGATATTTAAAATTATCCCGCAGAAAAAATTCGGATTAAGAAACATTTGAAAAAAAATGGAGAGCAATTTGGGGAAGAATGTCTCAATTAAAATTTTTTAACACCGCGTTATCAAATCTCAGAATGGTTACAGGCTCCTCGGAGAGGTATGCAGATCTGAGGTCAATTATTGCTTAGTCTGATGCAGTGATAAACAATAATCCAGGCTCGCAAATGGTATCGTGTATGAGATAAACAGGTTGCGTATTAGAGTACAGCAGCCCTATAAATTTAGAGTATTCAGTGTCACACAATGTTACAAGTACTTTATTATTAATAAGCATTAGGAATGTCTCAATTGTTTATTTTAAACATATAATTTAATAATTACATCCGTTTCAAGTTAAATACATAAATTTTAATTTTCAGTCAATGTTGTCATTTTATTTCGGACCAACTCCACTTTAGTTAGTGTATATAGTGTCCTTGTAAAAAAAGAAACTACGGAAGATGATATATAACACTTTTAACAATTTATATATGGCTCACACTGCAGTGTGTTGAAGCTTGTATTAAAAGTA